ATATAACATAAAAATTTTAAAAAATTAATAGTCTTCAAATAAAAATTATAAAAATGGCTTGAGACAATAGCTTACCTAGAATAACACCTAGTGAATTGTTGCTACGTCTGCTTTCACTTGTTCGGTCGGGATGAAGACAAGTCATGTTAGAGATTACACCCGGATCATAGTGACATTCCCCTCCATTATACTTACACGCTCTACATTCTGGTTCTGCATCAACTTCTAAATTGTTGCTCCATGAAAGTGATATTGGAACAAAAGCATGTCCATCGAATAAAGATTTGCTTGAAAATCTACCTTCAACAAAGGATTTCCTATCTACGAAGTAGGCAGATCCACATTTTCCATTTCCAATCTGCCTTTCCAAGCCTGTCAGATTCAAGGTAAATGACCTGAGATCATTAGAACTTAATGTAATTCGGCAACAACCTATGCCAAAGCAGTTGTTTATATCACTAACAGTGTCATTGTGACAAGTTGTTGAACAACCGGTCACAATATTCCCATTCTCCATGATGACTGCATTGCCACACCCCTCAACGACAAGCATGTTAGCTAATCCAGAAATTTTGTAGGGAGTTCTACGTAGGACAAGATTGCTATATTGGACCTGATTCTGGCAATCTGAAATCATAGGGAGATTAACAGTCACTGTTTGACGTTCGTAGCTTATACCCAACACCTCTACATTGTTGAGTGCAGATAGATATGGTTTTGATGAGTTGCAATCAATAGTATACCAATCGCTGCTAGACCACTTTCTTCCAATCGTGAAAGGGGGTGGAATCAAGACCTCCCCACATGCATCAAACCATCCCGAATCCAAGTAAAACGGAGCTTCTGCTCCTATGAATAAAATCATGCTAAGTATACACAAAAGTTGCAAACTATTGCATTTTGTTAAACCGTAAAAGGCAGAAATGAAAGGATGGATACATCAATCAAAACCAAATGAAACTTATTTGTTTTTTTTTTAAATGTAGAAATTTAATTCATGAATTTAATATATAGGTTTAAAAAGGAAAGAAGGCAACTAGAAAATAATAAAAACAATTAAGTTATACTTGTCAAATGGGCTTGTTTATCTTTAAATTTCATAGAAATATAAAATTAGTTTTAAAGTAATAAACAATATAATAATAAAAATAGTTTGAAATATCATAAATAGTTGATACATTCTATGTGTAATTTAGCACATAGGTAGAGTTTTATATGTAGGACTTGAAGAAAGATTTGAATAAAATATTATGGCCAAATTAGAAAAATAATGTGTGTTCATTACAAAGGATTTGATTCAAACCTTACGGGTTCATGTAGTAGTGGAGGATTTTA